CATGCAGCCAAGCTGCACGAAATTTGGCATTGTGCGCATGCGAAGTTTACATCGAGCTCTACTTCACAAACGGTCTAGACCCCGAGAAAAAAAAAACAACAAATGTTTAACCAAAACCTGAAGCAAAAGAGCTAAAGCAAACTCCACTTCGCAAACCCGCTACTTCATACTATGAGAAAAAGAAAAACCATATGAATTTTTCAGAGCAATCCTTTACCAGGAACAAACTCACTTTCCCTCCATCCATCATCAAAACTCTATCCAAACCATAAACATTCTCGAGACGATGAGCAATGAGGATGATAGTAGCGTCTTTGAATACTTCTCTAATAACCTAAATGATGTGTCTAGAACGATGCGAAAATAATTAAAACGATTTGGCACTACCTTCTGAATGAGCTTATCTGTTGACATATCCAAACTTGCCGTAGCTTCATCCAAAATCACAATTTTGGCGTTCCTAAACAGAACAAAAATAGAAAGTTAAGGAGCTCGAATGAGATCCCAAATTACATCAGCAATGCCTTGGTCAAGCATAGAAGTTGACGCTCTCCAACTGAAAAATTCTCGCCGCCTGCTGTGACGTCGGATTCAAGCTTCTTGTCCAAATTAGCGATCTTGAAAGGGTTGTTTCAAATTTCAAGAATATCAATATAACATGCGCGAACGCAACCAAGGATTACGATAGCTTCATAAATTCATGTTATCGCTTCATGTACGTCAGCAAATCCAACGATTATGTCAAAAAGCTACATACGCTATAGCTTTCAATGATCCAAACTACTATAAATCGGAAATCTGAGGTGCTCCGATGAGGTCTAACTTGATAAAACTAACCAGTGACTTCAGGTACGTTTTTTCCAAAGCGTTCCATAGTTCGGAATCGGTGAAGAAGTTGTTAGAATCAAGATTAGAACGGACTGTTCCCGCAAAGAGCACAGGATCTTGTGGAATAAACGACATAGCCCTATAAATAGCAATGCCGTAAATAAGGCCAACCTGGTCAATTTTCAAATAGCATATGAGAGAACTGAGCTTTTACCTTCTCAACCTGTGGAGACCAATAGTCGCGATATCTACACCATCGATAAATATTCTACCCCATGTGAGCGGGTACAGCCGATACAGAACATTAGCCAAGGATGATTTCCCTGAAATAAACAATTACAAACTGATAATCTTTCCTTCCCTTAAAGTAAGCCCACCTGAGCCTGTTCTGCCGATAACTCCAATTTTCTCTCTAGGTTTGATCTCAAATGTGACATCATTCAGGGCTAGAGGAAATTTCGGCCGATAGCGAAGTCTAAATTGTGACCGATTCAAGGGATAGTGTTTCAGATTATAGGACAGGAAGAGAAAGAAATGAAGAACTACAACTAAAACTGAAATTTTTGCACTAAAAGATAATCTAGATGCAAAAGCCGATACAACCGGCTGGCATCCAAAATTTTCCATATCTTTGAATTCGAAAAGACTTTGCGAGAATTACATCGAGAAATTTCATGATTTCTCACCCCACCTGATTTGATGTAAGTAATGGTGATCAGGAACATAGTTGAAAGAGAAAATATTCAAAACAAACTTCACGCTCTGGAAGTCGATCTGCCCATTCTGCGGCCATTCCTTCGGTACATCAATTCCTTTCTTCGTTTCCCAATCTCCTTCCGATTGGATGTTCTGAAAAGAATGATTTACAAGTTAAGCACAATATGAAACCAAGAAATCACCTCTGAATAATAGACAACGCGTTCGACAGACGTCATTTTCGCTTCCAGTTCTGTCTGTGTACGTACGGCAAATTGGAAGATACCGCTCATCTGCAGAAAGAAAACGTATCAGCATATGTTTTGGTCAGATTAGCAAGAACCGACCTGCACAGCTAATGCCAAAGCCATACCAGCATCTGCTGGGGAGAGCGTTCCTGTTAGTATGACTATGAAAAATGCGACTATAGAGGTGATCATTACGACAAGCAGGTCCAACCATACCGCCAACCATCGCATAGCTGACTGGAACATGAATACGGCACCGCTGAAATGCAGAACTTGGGAATTAGGTTGGTTAACAAAACTGAAATCATTTTTCGGGTTGAAATTTAGATTTGCTTTCACTTATCTCGGAACCCACCTATTCGCATCCAACTTCTGCTTTAGAAGTTCCAAAAAACGGGGAGACTGTCCATATGAATGAATGCAAGCTAGCCCTTCGATAGTGGTAGTGATATGGTCGAACAGCGGTGAACGGGATATATTTTCAGAACGTTTCAAACTAAAAAAAA